TTGAAAAGTGTCCAGGAAGGACCATGTAACGTCACGCTGGTGATGACTGGTTCTCAGTCTTCCGGGTCATAGTCCTTCCATTTTTCGGGGTGACTATGACCTGAATGAATTAATTTCCATTTCTCTTGTCTAATATTGAGTTATGCTATTTATCCAGTGAAAAATGTTTTTACTCAGTTTGTTTCACCTGCAAGGCTGAGACAATATCTGAGTGAGGGTGGTTTTAAACAAAACAGGCTTGTTCCCACGAAAAGCCAAATTGTTTCTCCAGGTTTGTTAAAGTGTGTGTAATTTGTTTTGACTCAGAAACAACCTTCGCAGCTTTTTAACCAACATAAGTAAGGGAGACAAACTCTGATAAGTCAAAACAGGGCTGATTACTGTGCCGATGATGAACTGTTCTCTCTTTGCAAAGGTATGAAAATAAAGTGCCAACTGAGTGAAATCCTTCAATCCCCATTTATTTAAATGGGGCAAATAGTTAAATACTTTTTTCCCAGTAAAACCTTCACCAACATATTGCACTTTGGGATTGCATTTTGGGAAACACACACTCAGAGTATGAGAAAATGCTTACAAAACTTCCAGATTATAGGAACCATCTTTTTTCGGAGGGAATGTTGTTCCATTACCATTCCAAGCAAAGAACGTGCTTTGTAAATTGAAATAAAATTATAAAAAATGCAATCCAGAGATGAAATTTTGAAAATCATTTGAAATAAAAAGTTTAGAAATAAAAATTTTGCTGTTTTTGTCACATTATTTTTATTTTTACATTTTTCTTTTCAATTTATTTTTCAAAAGAAAAAAATTTATATTATATATATTATATATAATTTATATTTTAAATACAATTTTGTTTTTACAATCTTTTTTTCACTTTTTTTCTCAGATTTCTCTTTTAAAAGTTTGCTGAAGTGAAGAGAATGTGATTGTTGAAAAGCAATTTGAAGAGAGAGCAATTCATCAAACTACAAAATAAAATTGAACAAATTTTGAAAATTTGTTAAAAAAAAAATAATAATAATAAACTTAAACAAAACATGTTACAGATATAAAATATTTGAAACAAAATTTGGATTTGTTTTCCCATCAATTGAATAGGAAAAATAAACTTTAAAAAAAGAATCGATTGAAAGAAAATCTGAGAAAATAAAAAAATTTCTCTCAAAATCTTTTTTGATTAAAACACTTTGCAAAGTTTCATATTTGAATAATTATTATTTTTTTTTTTTTTCAAATTTTAATTGACAAAATATGTTTTTTGCTTGCAACAGTAATGGACCAAAATCTATTTTATAAGAGTGTGGATGAGTGACACAAAGATGGCTGGCGGAGCGATAAAATGGCAGGTTTTTAAATTAAAAATAAGGTTTATACATTTTCATGAACTATAAATTAAGCTTCAAATCAGACATAAAACATTTATTTATTTAGCTTATTTTTGTTGCATGAATGAATCCCAGCATGTGAAGAGGAGCGGTTCTCTCATGATGATGTCACATCCTAGACTAAGCCAATAGCAAAGATTTGCTGTAGTGACCCATTTTAAACCAAAGAGGGCGCCAAACAGGCACTTTCAGACACAAAAACGGGGATTGCAGCAAAGTGGTTGTAAATTGTTAATACAAAGCCAGGGAGCTGTAGACAACACTAAAACTTACATCAGTTTATAGTTTTTCAATAAAACATTTAAAATTTGGGGGGTGAGTCGTCCGTTAATGTTACTTGTTGAATAAAAGTAGTCATGGACCTACTCTGAGTCTGATACCTTATTTAAAGATTTAAACACAGGATGAAGTTATTATTTTTTTTATATAAAGATAACCAATTGTAAACTGAGGACATGGATGTTAGAAAATACACCCAAACTTGAAAATTTGTATTAATCTTTTTTATGTACTACATTTGGATCTACATCCACTCAGTTCAGTGATTTGCTTTAGTTTCTTTTAAGCATTAATCAGAGATTCTGGTTCAGGACCTTTATTTGTTTTGCTAAGGACCATTTGGCGCATCCAAAAACCAACAGTCAACATTAGTAAAGAAACAGTAATATTCATAAGTTCCTATATCTGGGAGCTAATGACAGGCCTTAATAACAATCCAAACCCAAGGAACGCCTTGCAGATAACATTCTGTGCGCCTTTAATTAGATCTTTAGTTCAGCAACTTTAAATCTATACAGGCAAAAATTACTGGACTTTCCTCATACTCTCATTAAATGAGGAAAGTTATTCAGCTACTCTGACCCAAGCAGCCACTGGAGTCCTGACCTGTTTTAAATCACATCAGCTTTCCTGCCATTTTTTCCTCACTAACTACTTTTGTCATATTAATGTCTTTTAGCCCAAAGGTATATCTGACAGCCCTCATATTAAATGCATCTTATATTGTATTGTCCTCCATCACATTTATGTAAATTTGGAGGCCAAAGAAAGAAATAGAAAACCTAAGCATCTTAAATCTGGTCTCAAAGCAACGACTGTCTGAGGAGGTGACGCTTTCAAAATCAGATATAGAAAAAAAAAACTGACATATACTGCATAACAAAAAGATAACATATACAGGTGCTGGTCATAAAATTAGAATATCATGAAAAAGTAGATTGATTTCAGTAATTCCATTTAAAAAGTGAAACTTGTATATTATATTCATACATTACATACAAACTCATATATTTCAGATGTTTATTTTGTTTAATTTTGATGATTACAAATGACAACAAATGAAAATCTCAAATTCATCATATCAGAAAATTAGAATATTGTGAAAAGGTTCAAAATTGATGGCCCCTGGTGCCACACTCTAATCAGCTAATTAACTCAAACCACCTGTAAAAGCCTTTAAATGGTCTTTCAGTCTAGTTCTATAGGCTACACAATCATGGGGAAGACTGCTGACTTGACAGTTGTCCAAAAGACGACCATCGACACCTTGCACAAGGAGGGCAAGACACAAAAGGTCATCGCTAAAGAGGCTGGCTGTTCACAGAGCTCAGTGTCCAAGCACATTAATAGAGAGGCGAAGGGAAGGAAAAGATGTGGTCGAAAAAAGTGTACAAGCAAGAGAGATAACCGCACCCTGGAGAGGATTGTGAAACAAAACCCATTCAAAAATGTGGGGGAGATTCACAAAGAGTGGACTGCAGCTGGAGTGAGTGCTTCAAGAACCACCACACACAGACGTATGAAAGACATGGGTTTCTGCTGTCGCATTCCTTGTGTCAAGCCACTCTTGAACCACAGACAGCGTCAGAAGCGTCTTGCCTGGGCTAAAGAGAAACAGGACTGGACTGCTGGTGAGTGGTCCAAAGTCATGTTCTCTGATGAAAGTAAATTTTGCATTTCCTTTGGAAATCAAGGTCCCAGAGTCTGGAGGAAAAGAAGAGAGGCACTTCATCCACGTTGCTTGAAGTCCAGTGTAAAGTTTCCACAGTCAGTGATGGTTTGGGGTGCCATGTCATCTGCTGGTGTTGGTCCATTGTGTTTTCTGAGGTCCAGGGTCAACGCAGCCACATACCAGGAAGTTTTAGAGCACTTCATGCTTCCTGCAGCTGACCAACTTTTTGGAGATGCAGATTTCATTTTCCAACAGGACTTGGCACCTGCACACAGTGCCAAAGCTACCAGTACCTGGTTGAAGGACCATGGTATCCCTGTTCTTAATTGGCCAGCAAACTCTCCTGACCTTAACCCCATAGAAAATCTATGGGGTATTGTGAAGAAGAAGATGCAATACACCAGACCCAACAATTCAGAAGAGCTAAAAGCCACTATTAGAGCAACCTGGGCTATCATAACACCTGAGCAGTGCCACAGACTGATCGACTCCATGCCACGCCGCATTGCTGCAGTAATACAGGCCAAAGGAGGCCCAACTAAATACTGAGTGCTGTACATGCTCATACTTTTCATGTTCATACTTTTCAGTTGGCCAACATTTCTATAAATCCTTTGTTTTTATTGGTCTTCAGTAATATTCTAATTTTCTGATATGATGAATTTGAGATTTTCATTTGTTGTCATTTGTAATCATCAAAATTAAACAAAATAAACATCTGAAATATATGAGTTTGTATGTAATGTATGAATATAATATACAAATTTCACTTTTTAAATGGAATTACTGAAATCAATCTACTTTTTCATGATATTCTAATTTTATGACCAGCACCTGTAATAATGGTGCATTTTATTTAAAAATGCCTTTAAGAATCACTGTACAAGATCATAAAAAAGAACAGCAAAGAGGCAGGGGGAGAGATGAGAGGGGTATAATGTTGAGGCTTTCATAAAGATAGAGATGGGTATCATCTGCATAGCAGTGGAAGTGAAGATGGAACCAACGGAGGAGGTGATAAATAATAAAAAAGGAGCGGCCCCAGAACTGAGCCCTGTGGGATGCCACAGGTGATGGGAGAGGGGTTGGAATGGAGCGTTTTCAGTAGAATGAAGTAAGAGAACTGTTTACATGTATGTTAATACAACTATTCCTTATTTGTGCATATTAATTATGTTTTTGATAGAAATCCTTTCGCTAAAATGCCATCAGAACGCTTATAATATTAAGTATACTAAACATGGTTATCCTGAAGGTTGTTTGCCAGCGTTAAACGAGAAGATGAAAAACATAATCATCAGTCAAACGTTTTAGCTTTGCTGAAATGTTTTCAACGCAGCATCAAAGGTTCTGTTTTCCTTTTTTTCTTGATAAACAAAACAACCTGCAGGTGCACTACTGCCACCAACTGGTAGGGAGTGCAATAGCTTCATCAGATGGTTGTAGATTCGTACTAACAAATATATGATTCCTACTACTGCAAAGTTCTAAACCTGTATTATCACATAAGGTTTGACAATAAGGTACTAATAGAAAACTTTTAATTTCCAGCTGAGAACTTCCAGAAAAGCCCCAACTTTTTTGGTTGTATTCTGAGTTTTGCTGAAAAAAGGAGCTTCGGTCTCATTTCTAATTTCCTGATTCCTTCTCCTCTGCAGCACTGGAGGAGGGCGTTCTGGAACATTTTGCGCCATCTGTAGCATCAATGAGATGATCCAGCAGCAGAACATTGTGGATGTTTTCCACACAGTCAAGACCCTGAGGAACAACAAGACCAACATGGTGGAAACAATGGTGAGAATCCATTTAGATAACAGACATCAGCTCCAATAAGACTCTACAGCAGAGGTCACGGATTAGCGGACCGCGTTCTGGATCCGGACCCACCTGCTGGCTAATACAGACCCAACCTGATTTAAAACATTTATAAATTACCACATGTTGTCCGATGACAGTGTCTAATTTAACGTGCCCCGCTTCTCCTGTTAATACGGTAAAGCCCTCCGCAGCGTCCACCACCAGGTTGCACATTATAGAAATTATCCAATGAGCTGTCAGTCTGGGTTGCTGCTGCTGCTACTTTTAGACACAGCAGGCAAACCTGTGGCAAGCCGGGCGATGGGAAAGAAGGAGAAGATGATGAGAAAAAGAGAGCAGAGAAAGTGTGGACTGCTGGAAGAACTGTGGTGAACTGGTGACAGAAAAGTGAAATGGCGTGCTCAAAGATGACCCTGAACATTTAGAGGATGTTTGGCTCAACCTGCTGCTGTGAAGCAGGATTCTCCACCATGAACAGAATCAACAATAAATCTGGATCCAGGCTCAAAATGAGCTCCTTGATATGTGCTTGAGAATGGCTTAGTCTCCATTCAAACCCAGGTTTAAAGCCTTTCATGGCAGCCTAAAGCCCACTGCTCTCATTAAGACAGAAAAAAGAAGGAAAAAAAAAACAAAGGGTCAGGTCAGGTGTTTTATAAAATATAAAATAATATATATATATTTTTTTAATGTATAACATTGATGCATAAAAACCTCATTTTTTTGTAATGTTAAATTCAGTTTAAAGTAACAGATTATAATTAAAAATGTCTCCAGACCTTTACTGGTTGATTATTTTCTTTATTCGGACCCTGCTGAGTTTTAATTGGTTACCCCTGCTCTAGATCTTTGTCCAGTCGCAACACTGAGTCATATCAAAGGGACCTTACAAATCAGAATAATTTATTATTTCCACTGAATGCTTTAGTTATTTCACATATTGAAAACTGAAAGAGGTAAAGCTAAATGTGCTCACGTGACGACTTCAAGGTAAAATGTCAGCAAAGAGAGAGGAATAGGTCAGAACATTGAGAAAGAATCAGCAGACAAATGAAGTCAGTGTTAGCAACCAAGGTTTTATATCCCAGCTTTTTTCACAAGTGATAAATGAACTTTCCTGTGCTTTTATAAGAGGTCAGAAGTTTATAAATGTTAGCATCTGACTGATGAGGGTTGGATTGGATTTGAGGAGGCGGGACCTTGCTCTTTAAACCCTCCTTTAAGCACCTAAACTGACTTAAATCCTTTGTTGTACCACGAAGGTTACAATAAAGAAACTGTTTTATGAGATCATAATCCTTGGCCACAAATACCACAGTAAACTACAGAACAGAAAAACTAGGGTCCTCTCACCATTAGTGAAACAGACCGAAAAGCTAATTCTTCTTTCAGGCTTTGAATTCATTTTTTTTTTTTAACTTCAAGTTATTTCTTGACTTCATAAAATTTTGTTAGGAGAAAAAATAGAAATACAAAATGATCCATATCCCTAGCATACATTATTTGACTGATTATTACCTTGGAAAATAAACCAACATCTTCTTAAGGATCCCAAGAAACTTTATTGAACAAATTTGAAATAACATTTCTATAATTCTCAATAAATAATACATCAGTATCTATTACAGCTGTTTTTTTGCACATCTTACAGATACAAAGAGGAAACGAAATGCAATGAGAGCTGTTTTATCCGTTCTATATTCAAAACTTCACTCAGTTATGTATAACTGTTATTAGATTCATTTTTATGCCCCATATAATTATGGTTACATGTATGGTTAATACAACTTTTCCTTATTTCTGCACATTAAATATGTTTTTGATAAAAATCCTTTCGCTAAAATGCCATCAGAATGCTTATATTTCATTTAATCTAGCAACTTTGGCAGCAACATCTAAAAGCAGCGAACTCTGCTCTCCAGAGCGAGTAGATTGGTAACCCCGCCTCCTGCTCTCCTCTACCTTGTCTGCTGTCATGATTCATGCAGCTATTATTTCATCCAAATGAAAAATGGAGAACAGAGAAGCAGATCATGGCTTGTCTACAGTGAAAAGAAGGACTGGGTTATTTACTTTTGCCTTTTTGGAAACACAGGAAGGAGCAATCAGCTAAGTGAGCTTAATGCTTGGAAAAAAATCTTTCATTCATTTTGAGACAGCATGAAAAGTCAGCTGAATACAAAACTGTCAGGATTTGTTTGAGGGTTGTGGACCCAAAAGCAGAGGCAGGAAGGCAGAGATGAATTTACGGTAGATTTAATGAGGAGTAACTGAAAAAAACAAAGTCCAAACAAACGAGAAACCAGGAATCCAAAATTCAAAACATGAAAAAATAAGTAGAAAACAAACCAGAAAACAATGGAGACATCAGGGAATCAAAACTCAAGGAGGAAGGCTCAGAGAGACGAAGTTAGACTGTGAATGACGAGGTAGACGATTTATGACAAGGACCCAGCAAAGAGGAACTGAAGAAAGAGGGTTTTTAAGAGACTGAGACAAAGAGAGCGCTAATGAGGAAACTGGGAGCATGTGTGCACAGAACAAAAGAGGGAAAGAGCTAGGGAGAAAGGAGAACATAAGAGGGCAGCAGAGAGCAACAAAAAGAAACCTGGAAGACTGGAAATATCAACAAAATAATAATTAAATTACTAGGACTATAAAACATTGAGAAAAGAAAACTAAACACTCAAAAGAAAACATAACAGAACCCAGACTAGGGCAGTAACTGGAAAAAACAAAGAACACAGCAAAATAAAAATAAAACCACTAACACTAGAAAACAAGGAGCAAAGCAAGACTGAACACTAAAAAGAAAATATAACAGAACCAAGACTAAGACAGTAACTGAGAAAAGAAACTAAGAACCCAATAAACTAACAATTAACCGACTAAAACTAGAAAACAAGGAGCAAAGCAAAACTGGATACTCAAAAGAAAAACATAACAGAAACAGAAACCTGACAAAAACATAGAGAGGAAAACAAGAAGAAAAGGAATAAGAAGAGGACAAAACCTAGAACAAATAATGGATGTCTATTCTATTAACATTTCTGTATCTGCATAATGGGTCTGTTTTATGTGTTGTCTTCTCTATTCATAAGGGCCCCCTGCCTGTCTTTGCCTAGGACCCCATATTTCCTAAATCCACCCCTGATGAGTCCAGTATTCGGTAGTGAGAAATCCCAAATGTCTACAGAGAGTGTGTGTGAGATCATGCTTCTATAGTATATTAATATTTAATAATAAGCTTTTCACCAGCATGGTGAACAACTCTGGATTAAAATATGATTCTAAAATATGAAAAAAAAAAAAAAAGGTTTAACACCTGTCTTTAAGGAGAAAACTTTACAACTCACTGACAGTTTTTATTTATGGAGTTTTAAGGGGGGGTTTGAATCTTTTACTACTAAATAGAAGTGATGACTGATTTCCTCTATGGCTGCTCTTCCCCTCAGGAACAATACAAGTTCTGCTATGAAGTGGCTCTGGAGGCCTTGAACTCCTTCTGATGTGACGGCGGCTCCAACCGTCCCTCCTGCTGACGCCGCCCCTCTTCCTCAAAGCAACGCTGAGACACACAGGAGATCGAGACGGCTTTGTGTGGAGCTGAGCTCCGTCCCAGAGTGGGTGGGTGCGTGTGTGGGTGGGTGGGGTGTGTGTCTTTTGGTAGACCTGTGACCCGAACTGTGCTGGGGGGAAAAAAAAGGCGCCAACATACAGACTCATTGTTTTGTGTGCATTTGCTTCAGCAAAACCAACGGACTTTACATGCTTGTACAAAGAGAAATTATGGTTAAAAAAGTTAATAAGATGTTTTAAAAAAGACAATTTTTCCCCCTTTGTTTCTGCCAGGCTGTGATGTGACTAATGTACAGTATTTCCTTTTTAGATTTATTCTGCGCCTTGAATGTTGTCTCCTGAAGGCTCGAAGCACACTGGAAGATTTCACACAACTCAAAAAAGACAGATAAAAACTAAAAGCAATCTTCAAACTGCAACAAAAAATATACTCTGATTTTTCTATAGTATATTTGTAAATTGACGAAGCAAACTGTAATCAATGCAGCTAAACAGAGCTGCAGATCTTAAAGATTACGAGCGCTGAACGTGGATAAAGACGTCCTAAATTTGAAGGCCGAAGGAATGATGAATCTGTTCTCTGGAGCTGTGGAACAATGCAAGGTGAATCTTCCAATGTGCGTCCTCTGTTTCTGTAAATAAGATAAGACAACCACAGTCAAACAAACAAACAAACAAACGACAGAACAGGAAGATTCAAATCACTGCAGCTGTGAAAAGCTGTTTGTCATTTTCACTCATTTCTAATTTGATGCTTGATCTTGAGCCTGAACATGTCTGAACCAGAAAGATTTTTTGTATTTTGCATTCTGCCTTTACTGCTCGTTCCGTTCTGGGCAGCTCTGGGGGGGGGATGCTTTGTTATTGTTTTAGGCAAAAAAAAATAATTATTTTTTGGACAGAGAGCTGAACTGGAAAAACTTACTCAAAATAATTAAAAAATAAAGTGCATTTGTTCTTGGATTGAGGAGATAAAAGAGACATTTTGCCAATGGAACAAGACAATTTACATTTAATATAAGAAAACACAATTGCATTGTCTTATTTCAAGTGCATATTATCTAATTATCTTATTGTAAGAGTAAAAATACTCATTCTATTGGCAAACTATCTAATTTACCTACTCATATTAAGGGTAAATCTTGACTTATTTCTAGAATGTTTTTTCCAGTGTGAATTCAAACTGGCGTCTCTGTCTTTCAGCGAAGCGTTTGCATGTGTGACACGACAAGCTCAGCTGAGCAGTATTAGCCTGTGGAAAGATGTAAATATGGAAAAGGGAACCTTTTTTTGCGCACTATTTTTGCAATGAAAGACGGATATCATCCTGTGTTCAGATAAATGCTCGCAAATCTGATCTGTGAAGAAGTTACTCTGTTAAGTGTCCTTGATTTTCATCCAACTATGAAGCCATGTTTAAGGAGTAAAATGTCAGATTAAATCACTAATGTGTTTTCAATCATCATAACGACAAAGATATAATTCACCTATTTCCTTGCTAAACGATCCCAGAGACATCTAAGGTTTGAAAGATAACCAGCTTTATGTGAGGCTGCAGTGACAGACAGGAGAGGGCGGAGCTTAGGATTCCAGGGTCACTTTCCACTGGGCTTAGATTGACTTTTTTTCACAGATAGGAGAAAAGCTCACAACACCACTGATATAGAAGTAGAAAGCACAGCTTTTACCAACATTGTTTAAAGGAGAAGTCCGGTCAGCGAGGAATAATCAATGGATCCTTATTTATACCTAAAACTAATACGTTAGCGGTGATTTAATTAAGTTAACGTTAATCAGTAAAAAAATAAAAAACAATAATTTTCGTCACGATCATTGAGTCTGGGAGCGGCCATTTTTGCCCAAATATAGTAACCCCTCCCTCCTGCCATCTTCCAGCAGTGACGTCACGAAGGCGGTAAGCCTAGCGCCATTCTCCCCGCTTTACAAGCAAAAATCAATGGGAACTACTAGACACATCTGCAATCAACAACAATTATTGAAGATTTCCAGAGGACTTCACCATTGAAATTCACCAGAGCTATAGTGAAACTGACAATGCCCACGTGCATGGCAGCTGGATGCTGGAATACATCGGGTAAAAAAGAAAAAAAAGAAAAAGAAGAATGTTTTCAAGATGACCTGGATAATAGCGCGTTGTGACAAACACCAGATACAGCACTGGGACTTGATCAACAGCCGATACCGCACCGTGACGTCACTAACCAGTAGGTGGCAGTAGTGTTCTTTGACAAACATGGATGCCTCCAGTAAAGCACATTCAAATGAAAATTACTCTGAATTAAAAACACTGATCATTTATTGAACAGGATGGAATAATTTCATATTTAAAGTATTATTAAAAGTTTGAATTCTGAATATGACCGGTCTTTTCCTTTAAGCCGTGTCTCATCCAACAGTAGCATTCATTTCTTTACAAGACTTATTTCACAATTTGTTAATTGTAGTGATTTTCATAGGCCAAATCATACGACACCTGTAGGTGTTTGTATTTCTTAAATCCTCATAAGTAGAAGCAGAATGTTTCCCCATAGGTAAAGAAGAATGTGTAGTATACGGTAGTGAAAAATCAGGCGGAGGACATTAAATGATGCAATTATGACATGCGACACCATGAAGACCTCAGAAACTTAATGCCCTCGCATATTAATGCAGGACTGTGTCCGAAAAAGTTTGCACGGAGGTCCTGCTCTGCGTTTGGACTGTCTTGCGGGCGCAGTGTGTAGTGAGCATTTAAGCATTGTTGCAAAATTAGAACTTTTGCAGCTTGACCCAGCGTGTAAACCAATCAAAGGAGCTGATCCGATCCAAGCTGAGACATTTGCTCCTGTAGAACCGTCAGAATAAAATCCTCAATACATTCAGTGAAAGGGTGGAGTCAGAGCAGAATTACAGGGTCTGACCAGGAGATGACGATTCTCTTTCGATCTTAATGTCCACAAATTATGAAAGAATATTTTCGATGTTTAAAAACCAATTATAGGGGACCAGCCAATTTCCCATGAAGTGGGGAAATCTTTAATGGCTACCACTGTAAAGTCATAATGTTACGAGAATAAAATCGGCGCTTTATGAGGAAAAAGTTGTATTTTATGACAGCTCTTACAAGAAGAACTGTCGGAACGTTGAGCATCTTTTGAAGTTATAGTCGTACTTTGGCATCGGCTTCACAAATAAGAAAATATTGAGTCTTTTAGCAAACCAGCATGAGCATCAGATTATTATCAGTGTCATTGCTTTAACAGGATTCTGCTTTATCCTCGTAATGCTACGATTTTATTATTATCTTATGTTATGGCTTTATCCGCATATAAAAAAAAAAAAAAGAAAGTCTAATACTCCATCATAGTTTTTAAACGCTTAAGGGAAGTTTTAATGAAACCCGGGTTGTTCTTCTGATGTCCTCTAAAACAATAAGATTGAATCAGGGTTTTCCTGTTTTTATCACCGCTCTAACTTCAGCATTTTAGGATCAACCAAATGTTTGATTTATGATTGTTTTATTTATTGGTTTATTCGTGAATTTCTCATGATTGTGGTTGATTTGATCGAGGAAAACGTGTCGCTGATCATCATGAGAAGCAGCAAACCTGACATTGTATAAAGGAGTTTGACAAAGTGTTGGCTCTTTGTTTAAGCTTTTTTCTTTTCACCTGAGTCCAGTTGGACTTTTTTTTGGACCTAGTGGGACAAAGACCATAACAGTTCTTTAATGAATATCAGAAATCTTTATCCCTTTTCATTTTTACAGAGTTTTTATTTATTTTCTTTGATGTGTTTGGTTCACAGGTCTTAATCTGTACTATATTTTATTTCGGATCCATTCATTGTGGAATTTTGTCCTGAATTTGTACATTTCTTTTGTAAAATTCTTACTCTGATTATTTGTCCAACAAAGTGCTGTTTAGATCTGGTGATGCCATTTTTTTTCATTGGTTGTTTAGTTGTTTGAAATGTGGTTAAAAGTAAATAAAGGGACCAAAACACTGAAAGGAAACTGTCTCTTTTTTTTACCCTCTCTGCACCAATGAACTAACAGACACGGAAATTCAATTTAGTATTAAATGAAGAGAAGTATCAAATACATTATATCGAAGTAGAAAACGATTTTTTTCACTTCTTTCTAAAAAGTGTAGGTTGAACATAAAATCAGTTCAAACGTTTATTTTATGCATTTAACTTCATTTTAGATTACCAATTTTAACGGTCCCCAAAATGCTGCAGCCAGAGTTCTGATGAAAATGAAAAAGAGAGATCATATCTCTCCTATCCTGGCTTCTCTTCATTGGCTTCCTGTTAAATCCAGAATAGAATTTAAAATCCTCCTTCTCACATATAAAACCTTAAATGGCCAAGCTCCATCTGATATCAGAGATCTGATTGTTCCTTATGTTCCTAACAGAGCACTTCACTCTCAATCTGCAGGTTTACTAGTGGTTCCTAGAATTTCTAAAAATAGAATGGGAGGCAGATCTTTTAGTTATCAGGCTCCTCTCCTGTGGAACCAACTACCAGTTTTAGTCCGTGAGGCAGACACCCTGTCTACTTTTAAGGCTAGGCTTAAACTTAGTCCCTCCTGGAGGACATAGGGACCAGTTTTTCATCATTCTGCTTGTATTCACATAAAAAATAAATATTTTTCTGATAAAGTTTCTTTTTACAAATAACCATGGATCTCTAGTTAAAAAGAAAAGTCTGTCATCTATAGGCTTAGACTACTGGGCTATAGGTTTAGACAAGAAATCAACTCTTTAACCTCTGATGCTCAGTGAATAACTGTAACATTATTGGTAGAAATAACTTTGGGACTTTAATGATAGTTAATTTGTGTTGAAATGAACTAAGAGCAGACTAACACAGGAACCATGGCTGCCAGGGGATGAAATAAAGAACCAGGATATTTTAGAGTTCAGACAGACCTGGAGATGAGTACTACTGGATCAAGTTGGATTAATGAAGAAACTGAATCTGATTCTGCAAATTTGTAAGTGGATTAAACCTGCTTGTAGAGAGAATACAGCTACATTTGTTGTGAAATACAGCTTATTTAAATAAAAAAATACAGTAATTTACACCAAAAGAACCATAAGGGAAAATAGCGGGCCAACTAAAAACGGGTTCCCCCCCTTAATGAACCGGGGGGGCCCCCGCAAGGGGGAGGGGGGGTTTCCAACAAAAAGGGGGTTAAAACATTTTTCCCTTTTAATAACCCCCCAAAAAGGGCAAAAAGAGGCGGGTACCACGGGGAAAAAGGGGTTTCCCAAAAGGGGCCCCAGAGTTGGGCCCAATTTCACGCCCCAAAACTTTGGGGGGGTAAACCCCGGGCATGGGCAAAAAATTTGGGGGGGAGGATTTCCCCAAACCCCTTTAACTGGGGCGCCCCCAAAAAAGGGCAAGAGGGGGTCCCCCACTGGGGGAAAGGGGGTGGGGTCCCCCAAAAAGGGAAGAGGCGGGGTCCACCATTTTAAGGGAGAGGGGGGGGTCCACCATTTGGGGGAAGGGGTGGGGTCCACCACAAAGGGGAAGGGGAGGGGGGTCCCCAAAAAAAGGGGAAGGGCCCGGGGTCCCCCAAATTTAAGGCGGGGCCCCCCCCCTGGGGAGGGCGGGGGTCCACCAAAAGGGGGTGGGGCGGGGGTCCACCACTAAGGGGAGAGGCGGGGTC